AATTCTGTATGTTTGAATTCAAATAAAACGTAAATATATTTCAAATCTTATATTTTCAATAGCCGTGATAAATTTTTTAATAAAAAAGTTTTAAATAACAAATAAATCAAATTAATCTTAAGTAGCGTCAGAGTGCTGCTTGATATCATATTTCGCTGCTTGGAAATTTTTGTTGAAACTTTCTGGTCACACGTTTTATGGAAATGTTAGACTACGAGTAGTCCCCCATTTGTCCTCAGGGATGGTAGAGCGAGCGAAACGCGAGCGTACGTGAAATTCACCCCACCGCGTCTCGCCTTTCTCGCGTGGGGTGATTTCCACGCGCGCTCGCTTGTCGTTCGCTCTACTATTTTTGAAGGAAAAATGGGGGACTACTCGTAGTCTGTGGACATGTCGCACGTTCTCACAAAAATTCCTTTTTTTTTTATTTCTCGCTCTAGCTCTTTCTCTGTTATCCACGTCAGTGTACACATAAAGATTTAGTCGAAAAAAGACTCGGCTTTGTGTTTTATTTCTCTCTCTTAAAGTCCGGGTGGCCAAGATGACCATAACATGGACGTCCATCATCTGGTAAAACAAAAGGTTATAGCCTCCACACAAAGTAAAAAAGGTCATTTCACATTGGTTACCCTGTGGTGCGGACGGAGCACGCACGGTCACGTGATTACCAAAATTTCTCAGATGCATGGATAACCAATTTTAGGAGCCGTTAAAAGATATTTTCTCTCAGTAAAGCTCTGGCCCTGAGGAAGGCTAATTTTGTTAGCCGAAATATTGGCCTATAATAAACCAGCCCTTTGCCGTAGGAAAGCATTAGATAACATCGACCTAAACCAGATGAGTCATCAATATGTCAGCGGCTTGTTACAAAGTGATCCTCTCGAATTCCGCTCACTTGATCGATCACAGCAAGAATGTTGTACTTGAGTTAGTTTGAGTTATAAAAGTGTCAATATTGTAGTTTCCAGTTTATTTTACTTAAAAAAAAATCTTAAATCTGTAATAGACTCAGCTGTATTGCATTGAACGACGCGGCTTATGGTCTTTCCGCGGAACGTTGGTTTCGGTCGATGATATTTAGTGTCAACACGTCACGAAATCCTATCTAACATCGACCGAAACGCGAAACCTAACCGCCAGTCGGCTGCGGCGTCGAAAAAGCCTACATGAAGTAAATCCCGCGAGAGTACAGATCCTATCCCAGTTTTATTGCTGTCAGCAGAGTCTCAAACAGTTGTTTTCCAGCCTTTCGACTTTCACCTAAGAAAGTTTAAGAAGTTCATATAGGTTTTTTCGGCGCCGCAGCCGAGTTGAAGTTAGGTTTCGCGTTTCGGTCGATGTTAGATAGGATTTCGTGACTGGTGACGTGTTGACACTAAGAAACATCGACCGAAACCAACGTCGGCTGCGGCGTCGAAAAAACCTACATGAAATAAATCCCGCGAGAGTACAGATCCTATCCCAGTTTTATTGCTGTCAGCAGAGTCTCAAACAGTTGTTTTCCAGCCTTTCGACTTTCACCTAAGAAAGTTTAAGAAGTTCATGTAGGTTTTTTCGGCGCCGCAGCCGAGTTGAAGTTAGGTTTCGCGTTTCGGTCGATGTTAGATAGGATTTCGTGACTGGTGACGTGTTGACACTAAAAAACATCGACCGAAACCAACGTTCCGCGGAAAGACCATAAGCTGCGTCGTTCAATGCAATACAGCTGAGTCTATTACAGATTTAAGATTTTTTTAAGTAAAATAAACAGGAAACGACAATATGACCATTTTATAACTCAAACTAACTCAAATACAACATCCTCGCAGCGATCGATCAAGTCAGCGGAAGTCGAGAGCATCATTTCAATCATTTTGTAAGACGCCGCTGACATATTGATGACTCATCTGGTTTTAGGTCGATGTTATCTGGTGCTTTCCTTTTCGGACCTCAAGATCGTCGAGGTGGAACGCATACTCGGGCTGTTGGTGCCTTGTTGTACGAGAGGGTTGGCGCCAGGACCCGACGAATCAATGCCCTCCTCGGTAGCCTGTTCCGGGCTCTCAGATAATGGGGAAGGCGAGAAAGAGTGGGAATGATGCGAAAGAGAAGGACGCACGATAAGGGGGCGGGGAGGGAAAAATGGAAAAAGGAAGGGAGTCGCCGCTCCTCTCCCCAGTTTCCTCCCCTTTTTTTCTTGTTTGCGCTTTCACAATTCTGCGGACCCGACTATCTCGGAGCCTGAAACAGCCTACCTCCTCGGCAGTCTGAAAAGACCGGCGTCTCCCCCCGAAGGCTGACTTTATGCAGGCTGGTTGAAAAAAAGTCAAAGATAAATGTGACTGAGCTTGTTGTGCCAACAAACAAAGAAAACAATCACAGTCAAATAAAAAAGTAATACCGTCTACCTTAGATTGTGTTTTTTTAATCAAAACGCACTGACAGTGTTTTTTTCTCTTTGCGTGAGAAAATAGCTGTGGTCACACTACAGACTTTTTACCTAGGTAAATTCGACTTGTTGACAGTTTACCTAGGGAAACTTGATTTTTAAAGTGTGACCGATTTTTCCCTAGGTAACTTACCTCGGGGAAATTTTATCGTCTGGGTCTTGGATATGTCTCGAGAACAAAAGAGTTTCCCTTGACGGCTACCCCAAAGCGATAGCTAGGGAAAAATGAAATACCGAGGTTGCTAGCCAATAGACGCTCATCGGCGAAAGTCTTGATAACAGAACCGGACATAGCTCACGCTGTGAAAGAAATTTTGGGGGCACAGGTCGTCTACGTCTTCGCTTTTCTTCACCTTGCACGTTGAATTAGCGTAAGAAATATCAGTGAAATAAAAGAAAAAAACGTCTCTTTGATCAGCTAGATCCCTGCGCATATTGCCTTCTTAAATTTACGCTCCAAAAAATTCAACTGGTGTGAAAACCTCGAGAGCCGATACTAGTAGTGTGACCTTCCCAGAATTTTTCACCCAGGTAAAACAAAACCCGAGATGAATTTACCTCAGGAGGTTTTTGATGGATTTGCCCTAGGTAAATCGCTTTTACCTTGGTAAAAGTCTGTAGTGTGACCACAGCTAATAGAAATTTTGAGATGTCCAGTGTCTTTTGAGACGCAAAGTGGGCAAAAAAAACGTAGGAAAAATAAACAGGATGACAAGCCGTCACAACATTGATTGACTGATTGATTACAGTTCTTATCTCCCTCGGCGATAGAAACGATAAAAGTAAACATACTTACCAATTGAGCCCTGCGTGGGGAAATCATTTGTTTACGTTAACGTCGAAAACAGAAGTGCGAAGGCTTTTCTCCTGGGTATTGACGTGTATATTGGACCAGACAACTAGAGTTAATTAAGATTAGCCGATTAAGATTGTTCCCGTGAGATTAGAAGGTAAATCTGCCAGGAAGATCGTGAAAATTTAGCGTTTAGCGGTGCCGGTGTGAATTCAGCATTCAAGTTCATTATTATTCTCCGCTTTAAAAAGAGGAGAATAAGTGTTGTGTTATTTATTAACTAAGTGTAAATGACAAGAATCGGTATGGCGAAACACTAAAGGGACAGTAACACAGCAATCTACGGTCAGCTCGCGTAATGAAGAAAGTTCAACATGCAACAGAGGTATTTCATTAGCGTGGTTTATATCATCCGTTATCATCCAACACGTATTTCAATACTAAATAATACCAGACTAAGGAAATATTATGATTATTATAGACAACGGTGTGGATAACAAGATTGACAAGATCTAACAAGAATATAATCAAAGAGGAAAATTTGTGAAATTCGTGAAATTCTATGACCTTGGGATTTATTTTGTCCTCCGCTGACAGAACAGTTACAGATATTTAATCATTATTTTTTCTTTCCAGCTGAGCATGCCACGTCTTTTGCATCTGTGTAGTGAATATAAATAAGTTCTGTTATTTGCTTACCTTTAGAGAGATGCACAATCTCCAGGAGAAAAACTGCTGGTAACAACAGAGCTTGAACGAGAAAGGAACGTCAAACGAACCAAACGACTCACCACACGTGAAAAGCTGTCAAGAGGTTTTATAGCTTTTCTACTTGTCATGTTCTTTCTCTTGGCAGTTATATTTGGATTTCTTTACGCAAAACGTGCTCATTCAAATTTGCAAACGAAAGAGCAGTGCCTCAAATCATACCCGTGCGTGACAAAAGAATGCGTGCTAACAACAGCAGGTAAGATGAACTCATTGTATGTGACTTGAGATTCATTGCTATGCTATAGCTTCGAAATGCTGAAACTTCTGTTCGGTCATTGTTGTCATTCATCGGACCACCCGTAAAGTTAAGGGGATCTTGTCTAGCCTGAGTATCATATCCTCTCCCCTTTTCGCTTCTCTTTTCGCCCTTTCCCCCAGAAACGTCTGATACTCAGGCTAGATCTTTTCCTAGAGGGTAAAGAGCGGGATAAAACGAAGTACTGGTGACTAGATACACCACTGTATATACTCTGTGTTGTACGTGTAAAGCTCCCTCGGTATTTGAAATAAGTGTTTATGAAGATAACGCTTTAGTCAAAGCTTCAATGAGGCCGATCTCGGCTACTTGGCCTGTACAGTAACTAGCACTTCAAACGTAATTAGAAAGAGATTATTCGGTCAACTTGAGCAGAGAAAAAGTTTTCAAATGTTCTCAAGGTAATTCCCTTGAATGGGTGTAATATTCATTTCTTTTTTTCAAACTATGCACAATTCAAAGTGGACAAACTGCAAATTATAGTAGTTGCTAAAAAATACATATCTACGTGTCGCAACTGTTCATCAGTAGGATGCATAAAATGTGTGCAATTCCACAATTGGTTTCGGCTCCATTGAATCCTATTTTAGGAGGAGCCACCCACCATGTGAGCACAGTCACGGACAACACATATAAGTGAGGAAAATAACGCAAAGCAAAATTAAGACGTTAGTTAACGAAATGTACATCGAACCGAGGTTCTTTGCTTCCTTTTCCCTCGCAACCATTAATTTTGAGTCCAACTTGTCCTGCTATGTAGATCGCAGTAGCATTAATAATTCATTGGTGTCAGTGATATTCATGGTAGTTTGTATCTCTGACACTACTCTATTCACCTTCTTCGTCCATTCTGCCAGCACTTTCCTGTCAACTCTCTTAAAACCAGCACCATTCAACACCTGTCCGCTTCTCATAATTTCCAATATGTCCTTTATCATTTGCCTCTCCTCATCATTCCTCGGATCATTGCCTGTAATCTGCACCTTGAAATCTCCATTTAGTTAATCGACGTCGACCTTTTCAGGTTCTGTGTCTATACACCCGGCATCCTGTTCCTCTAATTCTTTATCTACTGTAGTCATTCTTCTCCTGATTTCATCCAACTCGACGGAAGTAAACTACTCATTCTTTCTGATCGCCCTAGCCTGATCACATAGTCTCTGCTCTGTTATCTTTGATAAACCTCTTTTCTTCCAGACAGCATGCATTCTCTGTCTATCATGATCGTCTGACTGATCTGCCACTTTCATCAACTGGTTTACTCAGATAGTAGCACTATTATTATTATTATTAGTATTATTATTATTACTATCATTATTATTATCACAAGTGACACTGGTAAAAGTAAATTATAATTATTTTACACTATATAAAGCTTCGAGTTGAAACCTTAAAATAATTTGATCAAAAAGGTTAGCTTTTTCGTCTTTCTTCGGTGCCGCATATTTATACGACGAAGTCACGGTTCGACTTCGAGGTTGTCCGCTATAGTGAGAAGTGACTCCATTTGCTTTTTTTGAAATGGATGGACGGAAATTGATCGCTCTTTTTGATATACAAATAATGTCCAGTGACATACAAATCATGTCAAAGAGAAACCAAAATCAGCTTTTACAGCCTATTCTTAAGTCGCGGCACAAGCCGATTAATAAAATGGATTCACAAAAAGAGATACGAATTGCTCTTTCTGAAAAGAAAACAACAAGTTAATAACAGCCTGCAAACCACTAAGCTGAAACTTACTAGCTATATGCACTATGCACAGGTAAAAATGAGTGTAAAAAAGAGATTTTACAAAAAGAAAAAAATAGGTTACGAAAAATTTGCTTCAAGGGGATTCGAATCCGGACCCTCAGAATCAGTCAGAACTAAATGTTAACGCCTATATCCACTGGCCCACCTCGTGAAAAGCTGACAATTGGAGTTTAACAGAGGTATGTATTCCTTTCCCACAATAAACCCGTAATACTTGGCCGGGGAACGTTTAAGTAATTTATGAACTATCGATAGCGCGGCTACCTAACCGACTGAACCGTATGACCGCACGATTCTCTCCCTGCTCGTAAGGTGTCTTTTCATCGGTCATATCGGGAAAACATTAACACAACATTGTTCATCATTATTTCCATTGTTTTAGGTTAGGGTTAGAAGAGCTGCTACATGACCTCTCTTCCCGAAATGAAGAAAAACAATATGGCCGCCAAATACATTCTTTTAGTTTTTAAGGTTTTCCTTGATTAACAACGTTGTACATTTATTTCGGCAAACAAACAGTTAAGTTGAAAAAGGATTTTACAAAAGTCTCAAGAGCACGTCTCCTTTTATTTCGATTTTAATTAGCAAAATCGTCAATTTACACAACTTTTTCGTTTGGTTCTGCTTTGAAAATGGAGTAATAATTACCCATAGACAATACAGTGTAAAGAATTGTTGAGAAAAATAGCAAAAACTTGCCAACTTACGACACAAAAGGTACTTTAAAAACGAACTAAAACATTCAAAACGCTTTGATCACATCAATGATGACGTCATGTCCCTCTTTTGGTCATGAAAAAAATTATCAGGTAGAACATTGCTTTCCCGCAAATTTTCTCTGCCATCTGATACAAGGTTGACTCTCTACAGCCCTCGGCCTAGTCTCCCGACTTTTCCGCTCACGTTCATAATCCTCTTAAATTTTAAATGCCGGACGTCAACTGGTTATTTTTAAATGCCCCACACAACTAAAACCTCAAATATGCTATTTGTTTGTAACTCGTTAATGAAATCTTGTCACAACAAAAAAACCTAGTTCGGAAAAAGTCGAGGGGATTATTCAACAATATTAACTAAGCCTGAGGTGAATAATTGTTTTAGTATATTCACACGAAGTGATCTCAACAGAACCAGAAAGGAAACCATTAAAAAACGATTAGTTTGACTGACGGGTGAATTTCTGCGTGAATACGACGCCGTAAACAGTGGATGCGCAAAAGTTAGATATTTACAGTATCTTCAAACATGGCAAATGATAGTTTTAATCTTTTTCTATCGAGTTTTGTAAGCTTTAGCATCAACGGTTTAAAAGAAAACGCCGAAAATTTAAATTACTACCCAATTCTGAGAAGAAAAGTAGAGCTTTATTTGTTTCTGTCAACCACCGTGAATGAGAAAGTTTTCTTTGTCGCTTCTTGCAAATGCTGTCAACAGCGGCTACGATCAAGGTGAACGTTGTTTATCTCCAATGTTCTTTGCCTTGTTAACTTGCTGGCACGTACAATTTTCGAAAATATTTGGCTTCCTCTTTTCTCCATAAATTAACTTCTATTTAAAGGCAAAATTGGTCTTGCGAGAAAATCCCGAAATCACAAAACCTTGACAAAGCGACCTCGTTTTCCTCTGTAGTGGTAAACATAGCTTCGAGCGTACAAAACGTCATGCAGCTACAGTAAACCACTTCACAATAAATCACGCTGTTTAAACACCATCAAGTCTTTCTTGCCTTCAAAAAGGCTGTACTATGAAACTTTGGCAAAACACCCAGCTGACCCAGTTCACGACAGCGATTTTGTTTTGCTTTATATTCACCGCCTAGCGTGGTGAATATAACGTCATAGTCCGAGATAGCTAACCATAAGATTGCTTGAATTACCAAGATCACTGAGTGTGTATATACTAATTACTAGTAATTAGTATATACACACTCAGTGATCTTGGTGATTCAAGCAATCTGATTGGATCGCTATCCCGGACTATTCAACAATATTCACCTCCTAGCGAGTGGATAATGTGTGAGCTCGCTTTTTTCCCATTTTCTTATAGAAAGATCTTTTAAAAGTCGACAAAATCCTAGGGTTGACTTTTTTTCAGGCAAGAAAAGACTTCGATGGTTCAAAACGGCATTTTTCCGTTTACTGTTGTTGAGTTTTGTGGTCGATGGATTGTTTACAACTGCCGTTTATTCGCCGGATCTTGTTTACTGTGGGTAATGTCGACCGACATATCGGTCGATATAGCGGTCGATATAGCGGTCGACACTCGGTCGATAGTCGGTCGACACTTGGTCGACAGTCGGTCGATACTCGGTCGACACTCGGTCGACATAGCGGTCGATAGTCGACAGTAAACAAGATCCTTGCCGCCTAGAAGAGGGGCGTCTGGAAAAGCGGGAAAGCGGAATCCGGAATAGGAACGGGAATAGGAACAGGAACAGGAACCGGAACGGGAATGGGAAGAGAAACCTGTATAAAAGCAGGGACAACATTTACCTTAATTTAAGTTAATCTGGATTTAATTCCTATTCAGATTATATACGAAAAATAAGGGGAAAAAAGGAATAGGAACCGGAATAGGAAGGGGAATATAAACAGTGTATAGAAAAATGAAAAGGAAAAGATATAATCGTTATACAAATAAAAAGCCAGAGAATGAATTAAAGAAACAAGAAAACACCCTTGAAATGTTAATCTAATTAACCTTTCTTTATCTTTAGCCTATGACACATTGTGTTTTCGTGTCAAACATAATAGCAAACTTAAGCAACGAGAACGATGGAACGATGATGGAACGCTTCTGTCTCACACAACGAATCTGAATTCTTCATCTTACCTTCCACTGTGCGAATTTGTTGAGTCAGAGCACCGAAAGACAGAAAACATCCACTTCTAGTTTCCATTTCTCATGTCCTCGACGTCAACGTTCTGGTTGCTTATTAAGGTCCCTATTGCACTCGGTTGAGGTAGATGAAGTGCTGGCTGGGATGGTGATGGAGGCGGGGGGGGGGGGGGGAGGTGGTACGTGTTAATACCCTTTTTAAGCTGTTGACTATCTATCTCTGGTTAACTTCCCAAATTAGCACATTACAATATATCTATGCAGCAAACCAGAGGTGTTTGGCAGCCCAATAAACGTCTCCGATGGGTGTCTCGTTTACATATGGTCTGACAAATAATATTAACATGTTATAACCTCCTTCCTGTGAGAGACAAAAGGAACCTTAAGATCTGAGCTGATCCGACAAACGGCAACGCCAGCGAAAACGCCACTGAGAAACTGAATTCGGGTCTTAATTCAAACTATTTCTCATTAATTCCAAATTGTCCAGTCTTTTAAAGGTTGGGAAATGAAGCTGGAGACCGCGTCCGAGCTCAGAAAGACACAATAAAATTTATCGCCTGCCGTTCACGTTCTCAAGAGAACTTAAGATTTGATCATTGACGTGGTAGTTGTGCATAGGCGGTGAAGAAATTGACAGAAAGCGCGATGCACTCCCAAAGCTGTTGCTTTACTTATTTAACTTGCGGCTTTTTCTACCTTCTCGTTTCCGTAATATAAAGAGATTCGTGGGGGGGGAGCATGATACCAGACTAGTTTTCTTATTTTTTGTATAAATTGAATTAGAATTAAAATAATTTAAAGTAAATGATGTCCCTGTTCTTGTATCGGTTCCCCTTCACATTGCTGTTACTGTTCCTTTGCCGTTTCCGGTTCCGGTTCCTGTTCCCATTCCCGTTCCTATTCCGGATTCCGGTTTCCGGCTTTTCCAGACGCCCCTAGAAGAGGCCGTTTTGTGAACTCAGCGTTTCCTAGAAAAGTGTGATTCCGTTTCCAAGAAACGTTTGGCCCAACAACGAAGTTTATTTATGACAAACAAATTTGAAAGCAAATGTTTGCTGAAATTCTACGTTCCAAGTAAACACGAGAAAGAATACTACATGGAAACGACGTCTTACCTCGAGGAGCCGAATCGCCATTTTTGTCAGCACTTCATGCGAAGAACGACTCAACAAACCTTTTCGGCTATAAACTTGGCGAGTCAACAGAAAACAACAAAGCTCTTCTTTTCTTCTCAGGTAAGGAAACAATTCAAACTTTTAGCGGTTCTATTGAAGTTATTATTGTTTGCGAAGTGATAAGCTTGTGAATTGCCATGTTTGAAAATTCTACAAAGATCTATTTTTAAACTGTCGCGTGTCTAGCTGACCTGATCTGTCAATCAAATCGTACTTTTTAATGGTTTCCTCTCTGATTTTTGCTGAGATCACTTCGTGTGTATATACTAAAACAATTATTCTTTTCAATCTCGGTGAATAGTGGCTTTAGG